ACCATAACAAATTGGAGCTTGGCATACGCAGAAAATCTACATAAGTGCCAGTTTATTTTACTATGCTGGGTTGTAAACGGCACCAATTCAGCAGTTGCTTCATGAGCAGCTGAACCATCCCAGCAGTGGAAACAGTAATCACAGCCCTCTGAAGATAAGCCACCCTGGATCATGAATCAAGTCCTTTAAGAAGCTATAGAAAACGCCCAGCAATCTGCACACCACTCCACTGGGCATAAGTACATCCACAGCTAGGAGCACACAGACCGCGCTGATTACTATACCGCACAAGGTGATTGCACTTTGCTTTTTAAATGCACAAATTAGTCAGATGTGACAAATTTTGCCATTTGTAAGTAGAGCTCTGCTTTTCAAAGGGAAGAAACGTCACCCAACATCTGCTTGGGCAAATGATGTTTCTGTCTGTCTTATCTGTGGAATTCTACTTTTGATATAACCGTGAATACGTTACAGGCAGTAAATGAGATCATAATAGTCATCAGCTTTACATAATTGCTGGTATCAAACCAATAACTAATGTATATCATGGGCTCAGTTCCTTCTAAGAAAAAAACTCTTATGTGCAGATACCTGCTCTATTACTCTTTTTTTCTTTACAACAATCTTTTTTTTTTTCCCCTGCTGTGAATGGTGTGCTTCTATGTAGATTTCTCCTCTTGTTACACTAGCAAGTAGACAAATTGTACCCTTACTTATTTATGGTCTACAAGCTGAATTTACCCTACAGACTGAAAGCTGCTAAAGGAGTGTAGCTGGCCCTCTTTAATCAATTAACCTATGTCTCTGTACTATAAAGGTTCCAAAATTTGAACAAGACATGCTGAGAAAGTAAGTTTATAGAGGAAGAAAGATCAATACTGGAAGAAGCAACCAGGGATGAAAGTCAAGTACCACGCTGGAAAACAAACAAGGATTGAAGAGTCCCAGACAGCACTCACTCCGTAAGTTAGCCCACTACAGCGCACTGTTTAAGTCTCTGCTGTTGCAATTTGCATGTCTCTGACCTGACAAAACTGAAAATCTAAAAACTATATGGAATGAAAAAAATGTTTTCACATAGAAATATTTAGGGGACAGCAGTTTAGAAAAATTATGCTCCTCACTGTGAGTGTCGATGTTGGCAAAACCAGTAAGTAGGACTGTTTTTCCAAGGAACTGACACTGCTTATGTAGAGGGACCCTACTTGATTAAGGAATAACAGTTTGGATTACTTCCAGTAAGCCCTTTTCAAAGGATTATCAACATTTAGCGAGATGACCAGGTTTTGTAATCAAGTGTCAATGGGTGAATAAACTACCTTAACAAGAGCGGTCAAAGCAAGCAGTTTCTCCCTTGGGCAGAATACTTGAAGAGTAACTTAGAGAGCTGTGTTTGTGTGAAGTCCAGATTGCAATTATCCTTCCCCTATAGACTCCATAAAGTTTCTCCCGCACTTAAGATTTAAATACTCCAAAACCTTGCCACACTATTAATGCAATAGCCTAGGAGACTTGGTTACCCAAATTCCATTGAAAATCCAAGCTGTAGTCTATATATTTCCTTAAGGAAATAAAAGCTTTTCCAGAAAACATGTACAGGCTACCACCACTCAGCTTTCTCAGTGTATAAAATATTACTTTATGATTTGACTGTAACCCATCATCCATCTCTCAGAGAAAAGGGAAGGGTAATATTCCTCTTCTACACAAGTTTTGTGAGACATTTGGAAGGGGACATCTGTGAAGAACATAGCTACTGTGAAATTCTCTGACGGAACTCTTACTAGAGGGTAACATCTATCACCCACAGTTGACAGAACTACCATTTCTAACTGGTCTCCAATTAACTGATAAAGCATTACTGCTACTTTTTATAGTACCAGGCAAGAAATGCCATGTTAGCAGAGAAACCTACGTAGTTCACGCTTAAGCAGTTAAAGACCATCTCTGATGAAGTAAAACCCTAATGGCAATAGCTAACTACATTCCAATATTCTGCCCTCAAAAACAAATTGCAATTTGTAGTTTGACAGAAAACGTTCTACTTTATTTTCTGACAGCAGAAAAAAGATATTATAATTCTGATTGCTGAAACAATATACTGTCAGCAACGAGAAAAACTTTTGCCCAGCTCATATTAAACCAGAAACTTAAATGCCTACAGAGCTATATTATTTTTAGGAAGCAAAACAACTGTCAGTGAAGCAGTCATTGTTCAAGGTACCAGCTGTCAACCTACACACACAGCTTGCGTTTGGCACTTACTTGGAGAACCTCTCCAGAAGAGCTGATGACTTATTCTTGTTGACTAGAGAAAGCTCTTTCGCAGTGATTTTCAAAGACTGTGAAGTCCATTGTCTTCTATTAAATGGGGAAGGCTCCATCTTATCACCACAAATACCTGCTCAGGAAGAAGGTACAGTGTCAGTCAATATGAATTATGTGAGCAGAAAAGTAGTTTCACAAAGCGATTCAATACTAAGTCACCGTTCAGGTGCCCCCAGCATACGAATGCCTTTAAGTCCTGATCATTCAGGATCTTGTCCATCAACTGACTTAAAAAAAAGGCATCGGATTAAAATTACAATTTCCTCTGCAGATGCCATTGAGATGGTGCTCTTGATAAAAACACTAGCCACAATAAAGGGGTAAGAGATAAGCCATAAGCCAGAACCGCAGTAAGAAGCAAGCTGTGATTGAAGAGGATGCTAATGTAAAGCTCTGTATTTCCTATACACACACAGGCTCCAGGAAGCCCTAATATGCCCTCTCTTGTTCTGGTTTCTAAACCAAATGCGCTGGCATTTATGTAAGAAGGCTTGAGTTATGAAACCTAAGAGGATGTAATTCCTATGCAAACATTTTTCATTCACTCTTGTGGCATTCATTCTTAACACAGCAGCCGTTTCCTCTGTGAGCTGAAATAAGTCTTCTGTTCATGGAGGCAGCTGTAAACCTCATGTTGCAATAGCTATCAGTTACTTAAAGGAATAGTTTTAACTATCCTGTCCTGCTGTAAACGGGAGGAGGTTTTGTACAGCTTTTCACCACAGAAGCCAACAAGACTGTATCAGGTTTTTTTTTTATACATACTTAATTTTCTTTTGTGGAGGAGGAAAGGAGGGGAGATTAATTTAAAGAGTTCTCTGATAAGACAAAAATAAAGCTTGTAGGGCAACGCCTTTCCTTTTTTCCTCTTTTCTTTTATCCCTGGTCTCATGTCACACAATGCCTGTAGCAAGTGCACTAACTGATCCTACAAAGCTAACATCAGGCAGGCTGATCTCTTTCTCATATTTTCCATCAATTTCTTTAACTGATTTTCACTATTAGGTCACAGAACTCTAGAAGTCTGAGTACAGGTCTACTTGCCCATTAGTTACACTGTAAATGGAAGCACCTTAAGACAACTTGATATAAACAGTCAATCAAATGTAGGAAAGACCACGTTTCCGAAATCCTCATAGGCATATAATGCAACTGCTTAAAAATGACAAAGACTCGGGATTCTGCAACGCCTCAGTCCAAAAGAATTGAGTCTCACTGATTTTTGCGAGTTGTGAGTCTCAGCAATTTCCAGTGCTGAAAGAGGAGCTCTGGGTCTGTGAAGTGCCCAGTTGGTGCTGGAACCAGAGGAACCTCTCTAGTGCTGCACCCTGCTGCTGCGTGGAGATAAAACAGGCAGCAGATGAACACGTTGCTGTCTTGGTGGATATAGTCAGGAAGAATGGGACTTTCTCTAACATTCCTTAATTCACCTGATGTAATGGAGAGAATGACACACCATGCCAGTACATGTTTTTTCAAGATAATGATTTAGATGGTGCTTTTAGATGTACAGGTTGAACTATCGTGGCAAACAAGAAAAATTACACTATTTTTCTTGTGATGTTGAAACATGCTAAAACTACTTATCAACGTTACATTTCCAGTTGCAGCTTACTGCAGCTTCAGACTCGCATCTCCCACTTAAGGCAGTCTCTGAAATACATCCATTGCCCCTTCCAACTGGCAAGAGAAACTCAGACTGCAGAGTTACTTTCTGAAATTCATGCTTTCTTGAAAACATTTTGCATCTCCAAGTTACCCTCTTCTGTTAATCTGCAAACTTTTGTCCAGACTGGACTAAGAGAAGGATGCTCTCCGTTTGGCTGGCTTAAAATAGTTACCAGTCTTTGCCAACTGCACAAATGATCATCCACAAAGAAAAAGGATCTAATTAGAATAAAAGAGTGCTCAGTTTTCTCCCTTTTTAAAAAGCATATTGCACATGCAAATAAATACGCATTTTTGTGATTACAGGATGGTAGTCCCTAGGGTCGATGCCCAGTAGCAAACATTTAGCATATAGATTTAATAAAGCCACAGAATACATGCGCAGATTATAGATAGAATTTACTCCTGAAAAATATAAATCCATGTTAAAAAAGAATTCTGAATCAGCCATGTAATGCTACAGTTTAAACTTTGTTTTATGATTAATCTTGAGCCAAAAGGAGATCACCTGAAGCTCCGGTTTGCAGTTTAAATTGCCTTTCACAAAACAGAGTCAGTTTTGCCCAGGAAACAGTAGCAGGGCATTCATTAGAAGCCTCCCTTGGCAGAGATAACAGGTTGCTCATTGACACGCACCTTACACGGAAGGACAGTTTCAGTAAAATACTGAGAAAACAAAATCTAGTTTAATTGTGCAGAAAATAAGCCCGGTTTTGATGCCCAAGCATTCCATTGCAGCTTGTAGTGATCACCGTTTGTGGATGCATTTTCTCCCCTGTTGTGTTTTTGTTCCGTTTCCCTACCATTTTCTCCATTAAAGCCACAGGTACATTAAGACAATCAGGCCTGTTTTGGCAAAAATCTCTATATAAAGGCAGCAGCTACTGCTAGGATGTTCAAATGGAAAGTTAAGAAGCATATTTGGAATCTCAGTCGCTAGAAAAGACATAAAACAGAACACTAAGATGCCCTGAAACTTGTGCTCACACATTTTTAACGCCATTCCACACTCTTAGCACTTTCCCCTACGTTTATATTTTCGTGATGTTCAAGAGTCTCTGTACTTCTTTTGCTGCTCCTTCTGAATAATTTATTCCAAGTCATTTCAGGAAATAGTCCTTTATTGTACGTATTAAAACCTAAATGAGACCATGAGCATTCTGCATATTGCAATAGAGGCAGGTTATGTTGAAGATAGCCTGGAGTCCGGAGGAGGGGACAGGGAATCTAGAGTTGTGCAAGATGCCAAGGAAGGGAAGGACTGTGATTTAGCCACTGTAATACACCAAATCTACCTGCAATAATGTGAACTAAGAGTTTAACAGTAGAATAAAAATCCGTACCTCTGGAAAGATGTTAATAGAAGAACAGGTGGTTATTACAGGTGGTTAAAGTGTCTGCGAACGGGACCTCTGCTGAAACAACTCATTAGCGAAGAGCAGCTCGGGCACCAAACCGCCAACGGCAAGAAGGCGAGAGCAGCGGTGGGCGCGCGTCCCTCACCTCAGGATCTCCGCAACTGCCCGCACGCCCCCCTGAAGCTACGAGCCCCTCAGACACCTTTTCCTGACGACGACCTACGCCAGGTGCGGCAGGGCAGGGCTGGTCCCGCTGCGCTGTCGCTGCCCTCACGCTTGAGCGGGGCGCGGCTCCCCCCCGCCCCACAGGAGGCGACGGGCTGAGCAGCAGAACTCCCGAGGGCCCGGTGCACA